TGATTAACAACGAACTGTGGCATAAATGTGCATGTATGTTTATATGTCACATATACTGAATTAAAGAAAAAATATTCTATAACTCTATGTTTTGTTACTTACTTCGCTTTTCATTAAAAATGAATAGATATTAAGATGTTCAATTTCCTTATTTATTACATCTTACGATTATTTAAATAATTTACATATACTATTGTTTATAGAAATCATTTAACTGATCAAAAAATATACTGGATTATTTGTCGCGTTTTTAAGACAAATCTTATCGATTTTCGAAGAAATGTAACATTAAAGAGAAATAGTTTAATTAAAAACGTATAGCAAATCCTTTATATTGCAGCCTACTAATGCCTTCCCAATTTGAAAATTCGCAACGATCAATCTCACTACCTGGACTTCCAACATTTGTTAGCCATTGTGTCCTGAAATAAAAAAAAAATATAGATTTGATTAAGTATTTAAATAAGTTATTAATGAGAAGTTTTTTCGCTTACATGACAATTTTGCATGCACTTTAACTTATTTACAAGTAGATGATAGATAAATGATTGTATTTCCTATTGATATTTCTGTTTTTATTGTCTATTATTAACTCTACGATGTTACGTGCTTTATGATGATACTATGATTTTATTACTATGAAATTCTTATCGTCAAAATTATTTGTTTATGTAAAAATTGAACTTAGAAAGGTTGAAAATTAGAGATTAAATTATACTAAACTTGTTTAAACAATTGAATTTTATTTCTACAGTTATTGTACCAATAAGTCTTTAGATCACTTATTAATGAAGCTATAAAATCATCCGTTCTCTACACGCGTTGAAATCACCGTGGTGATTACTTTGCATGGAATTTGCAAAATTCCGTCAAGCTCTTAATTCGATAGAAAGGTAGAGCAAATTCATTGTGAATGTTGTCTCTCTGCCAATTAACGATCATTTAAAATTTATCGATAAATTAACTGCAAAATAACAATCAATTAAGTATGCAAATTGTACACGCACCTATCTTCGATAGTGACGAGTGTAGTTTTACACGCTTCGCAATTATAATTAGCGGCTAATCAGACCGCGTTCAGATATTTTAAGCGGCTCTATCGAAGTAGGATCTTTAAAGTCGATCAGCTGTCTCACAATAACAGTAAGGATGAGCCATAGATCCGATTTATTGTCGATAGTTTGAATTCGCAATTTCGATCGAGATTTATACGTGAAAAATTTACCCGAATCCTCGGACTTAGCTTCAAACTGAATAAAAGTCTTATTCGATATTCTGAAATTCTATTCGACATCTTAATTTTTTGTTCTGTCGATCAAAATATGAATTGTGTAAGGTAATGACAATTTTAAAGTTTCGCAAAGAGATTCACTGATATTTTATTATTTATTTTATGTAGCAGAAAGAAAAGAAGTGGAAAAATTTTGTAAGAATTTCGACGAAATTCAAGAGATTCCCTTTTGGGGAGAGGCCAGAAACCAATGTTTCGTCCTCGACCGAGCTATTTTCTTTGACTTCAGGTTCACGAGCAGCGGAAATTCGACTGCGGAAATTAGTCTCGTGAGATGTCTCTTATGGTATATAAGTACTGAATGTCAACGTTCAAGTATATTTGTTCGTACGGCAGCGATCTTGTTCATCCGAGAGAAATAATTTATCTTTCTAGCGTCGTTTCTTCTCCTTGTAACGCAATTGGCAAAATATATGGATCAGTAGATCTGGCTCACTTCTCTAAATAACGATTACATCCTTCTCCATCTTATTCTTTCTCTGGCGTTCCGCGCGAACAATTCGTTCTTCTTCTATGCTCTTCTCTAAGACAGATCGTTACTAGTATAATTTCTTGTTATCGTTAGTTTAATTTGCAAACGAATTACGAGTCTCATTCAGTTATGATTGTTCCGGTGAAATCAATAGAATCCCAACGATTAACTCGTTCGCTCAAATCTGAGTCAGCACTCGTTTTTCGCGATACGCGCGTGATATCGAATTGGATGTGGGATGTCGATTAAGAATCTCGAAATAAAATAATTTTCAGGCTAATTCAATGTATGTAAAGTCGATTTTGTATAAGAAAAAGAATGAGATGAGAATTCAAAATAAAAATTCTTGTTAATAAAGAAAACATGAGAAACAATATGTTACTTGTCTAGAAATATTCAACGTTTGAAAATGTTCGAAATTTTTTAATGTTAAACTTGACCCATAAATTTGCCGAAATCCATGATTTCCCTATTGATTTCACTTATTCTTTAGCTTCTTTATTTCATTGTTCCCGTCAGTCGTGATATACAGTCATCAGTATTAATCGTTTACATTGCATCGACTTGTTAACGCTTTGTCATCGCTTTTAATGCGAAGAGGATACATTATTTGCCGAAGAATCGTCTGCGATAGAAGCGACTGGTTGGTAATAGCTGTTGGAAAGTAACCAGCGCGATTCGGTGATAACTCGCGAAGGAAAGAGACAACGCGGTACGCGCTATTATTTCATTAGATCATTATTAAAGCCAGGAACAACTACCTAATGACCGTTACTCGGCAATTTGCGGCTAAGGTCACGCGATTTTACGGGAGCACTGAATTCGTAGGCTTACGTTACGCGCGCGTGTGTCATTAATTCGTAGAACGAAGAAGAAGAAGATCCGAAGGTAAAAGAAAGAAACAGACGAACGAAGATCTAGAGTTTTTCTTCACGTTCTCCAACGCGTGATATATAAAAAGATTCGTGAAAAGAAATTTAATCTGGATAATTCCTGATATTCTCTTTTTTTCCCCCCCTTTCTCGGAAAGTCTTGAAAAATTTAAATTTAATATGTCAGTGAAATTCTTGGATCTTGCCAGGTCCAAATAATGTTACTCAAAAATTAGGAAAACGATCCGAAAATTATATTGCGTTCATCGTCTTGGAAGCGTGGCATAATCACTTCGACGAATTTATTATTATCAATTGTATTCGAGTGACTTAACGAACAAACAGAAGGTATCAAGCACGGTTTTCCTTTCTTCCTATTTGTGCGCGGCAAAAAAAAAAAAAAAAAAAAAGAAAGAAAAAAAAAGCTAAGAGGGGAAAGATTCTCTGCAAATTTGCCTTATTTTATCTCTCTTTCTTGGCAACAGAAAGGAGGGACAGATAAATTACAGTAAAAATGAACTTTCACATTGTTTACCGATCGGCGCCACAGCAACGGTTTGTGCAAAGCCATCGTGACAAGGAATAGCAACTCACATTTGATCGACGAGCGCACGTGGTCCCTGCATTTTTCCAAGTATCGTGCCGGACTTGGTGTTCTTCACCCAACCGCAGATTCCCAGTTCCTGACATATGTCTCTCACGTATTTCGGGAAGTAGACACCTGTGCAAAAATCGTGCACAATCTGCGATTAAATCTGCGGTCGATTGCAATCGAAATGATGGTCGAATTGAACAGCACGGCAGCACGAAATGAAGGAAATACGAGAAACAAATTAGATTACTTCAAAGCTTTATTATAGCTGTCGTTCCATTCATGCCTCTCATGCTTTTCATTCGTCGATGTCTCGTCGACAATTATTCAATTCAAACCGAATTGGGCACTGACGAGTCAAATTTTACAAGAATCTAGGTACAGCCTTGAACTTCCTCGAGAACGTTAGCGGCAGAATAACGAGTCAAACAGTGTCGCCTTGGAAATGTCTCAAACTCTGTTTGTCAGTTTGTCTAATCGAACAAAAGGATATGAAAAACATTTCACCATTTCCTTCTCTCGCGATGTTATTCCATTCTCCGTGTTTAATCATCCGTTGTTCCAGCGTCTGTTATCTTACAATTATCTGACATATCACTGCGAATCGAAGGCACATCTCTTTCGACCTTCTGATTCTTAATCCCAAGCCACGGTGCTTGTAATTCGTGCAAAAGCAACGCGAGGAACGTGTCCGCTACCGTAAGTCCGATCTTAAGTAGAACGACATTAATTGAATACTCGTCGACCTTCTGACCGACAAAACTGCACTCTTACCCTGCACCTTGCCAAAGACCTCGAATTCAACGGAAACTAGAGGCTCATTGCGGAGGGGGTCGTCCGCTGCCATTCTACCAGGCGAAGGGAGAGATTCCGGTCACCTCAACTCCACACCTTCGATCCGTGAAAGCTCGAGGAAACGTTTGCAGTCAGCGATCAGCATACAGAACAAACTCGAAGATTTCTTTTTCGTTCTCTCTGACACGGGCACTCCCTTCTTCACCTTTCGCCGTGATACGACCTACCGACTGATTCTGATCATTGCACCACGGCGTCGCGACGCCTCAAATAGACTCCCCCACCATGCCGAGGAGAATCCAATTGCAATCGATCGAGAATCGATCGACCGCGACCACTAGCTGTTGTTATTGCCGACGTGCATCGTTCTTCGGCGGCCTGCATTTTTCCCTCGGGGCCTCCTTTCTATATTTTTAATCGCCCTTCGTGTTCTTTCTCTTTCAATCGCTCGTTCAATCAATCGCTCGCTCTCAGTCGCCTTCTTGGCAAATCGTCTCGCGCGACTCGCTGTGATTCAACTTGAAGACAGAGAGAGAGAGATGCTTTTCGTTACGAGAAGGATTATGTACTCGATATGTACTTGAAGAATAAAAAGAATATTAAAAGAAATTAATGTTTGCTTATAGTAGTCAGGAGGTCTTATCTGGACAATCTTTTTAATTTAACGGAGGTGTTTAATCCATTCTATGACGAATTCATCTATGTTTAATTTACCCACCAAGTAAATAAAATTGTTTCTAGTTCCAAGGACGGATTAATGTTGCAATGGTATATATACAAATAACCCAAAGATTCGTAAGCTTAGTTTCTTCCTTTTCTTTTCTTTTTTTTTCTTTTTCTTTCTTTTATTTCAACGAATGTGGCAAAAGTCGCGTATTACGAGCGTATAAATATACACAACTGTCGTTGCTCCAAAAGTCGTATGAAACAGCTTGCCGGATTTTGCGTGCGTTTTGGTGAAATGTTTTGCTCGACCGAGAGTTCAAACATTTCGATTTATCGTGATTTTGTTAAATCGATCGCGATCGATCCCGGTTTTCCTGCGGGACGCGTCGATAGGGGGACTTCCGGCGCGACGACTGGCACATTGTGTTCATTGTGAAAATATTAAATGTAGGCCAGGAGGGCAGCCGCTCATCGTCGAACTAGCCACTTCCCATCGATGTGCCAGCCGCCCATTGTCCCGTCATTATTCCAGTTAATTAATTATTAGTACGCCATGACGTCGTAATTGATGTACAAGAGCAAAATGCGGGGTGTACAGGATGCGGAGGAGAAGGTTATAACCCATTTATAATGATCGTGTCCAGTCTATTACCATTGTCATCATCAAGGTCTCATCTAACGCTAGGATCGCGAGTGTACGAGCTTTTGCTAATCAGCAGCGTTCTGCGTTCCGACATAAAAAGGAGGAATTCGATAATGCTCGATCGAATTGGTCGATATCGACGACTGAAAGCGGCGACTAACGATGACTAGAAGATCCTATGGAATCGATGCTGATGAACACCTTACTCTCTTGTGTGTTATTTATTTCAAACAATCACGAGTCCTTACTGACTAATCACCTCGCGAGGAATTAATCGGGCCGAGTAAATTAACTGGGTCACGGATAAACGAAACATCGTGTTGTAGTGAAATCCGTCCGTTTAATCGTCGTTAATCGATATCATTGATATTTCATTATCACGAAAAGATGCACGACGAACCAACACTCGAGTCAAGATCCATGGAATCGTTCTGAATTCTGAATGAATCGACGTAGTAACCGTGACCTGCACGTGTGGACACGCTTGCCTTTTATCTCGTGCAGTTATAACTTGCGTTATAATAACAACGCGCACGCCTGTGTGCATATTTTCGTGAACGAAAGCGAGTTCAGTTTTTCGTCATGGCCCTCGTCGAATTCTCTCGTCGGCATTCACGTCGCAGAGATCCGCGCTCGAAGCATGCACGACATTACAATTTTATATACACTCGGTGACTCGTACGCACATGCACACATGCACCCACAGTCCCTTATATACATATAATGGTCACTCGTTCACAGCCATTCACCGAATTCATCGTCGAACTTGGTACGATTTCACTCATTTCATCCTCGTCTGCTCGATCTTCCCCTTGTCCATTTATTATCTATATCCGACTAACTTAAATCGGTGTTCTAAGCATCTATCTGCGTGTCTATCTAGGTTTGTTAACTGTCGAACTATACAGCTACCGCGCTATTTGCTGTACTTATTCCATCGTCTACCTGCGTAACTCATAACTCGTTGGTACTTTACAAACTTCTCGACGACTTCGATACGAAGCCCGCGTATAGTCTTTGTGTTCGTTGCAAGAAAGTTTCCGTGACACCGAACTTATCATTTGGTATACGATCACTGGCCGTACGGGAATGTATTGATTCCTCAATCTTAAAGCAGGTTTCTTCTTAAAACCCGGTTTTTCTTTCATCTGTTCCTTTCTTTCTTGATATTGCACAAGGATCGGTGATCAGAAAGGGAATTCAGTCGAATTCGTGGAGTCTTGTTAGACGAGAGATTCAGGATTCGTCGGTAGAATGGTTGCAGCGGTGCTGTTTGGTAGAAGCGCGCCATTTTCCGTGTCTTTGGCGTTTCCGTCTGATCGGGGCCGGAAGTCCTTCGAAGCTACCAGCAGGTTTCGTCGTCTCGCTTCCTTCTTCTCGCGTTCGACCTGAAAGCGAACGATCATCGATTGTTTACTTAATTTATTTACTTACTTAAACCTTTTTATGTATATAATTGTATGTTCAATATAAACATATCTTATATATCATTGCATCTATAATAAAAACTTATGATCTCACTAAGTCTAAGTAAAAAAATGATCAATCATTGATGCATTAAGGATCAACACTGTATCTTATTCGCAGTTATTGTCATTATTATTAGACTCTGTATCTACTTTATGAAGTTTAAAAAGATTGAAATATAGTAAGTCGGGATAGAAGTACACGTTTATATTCACACATCTTACTGTTATATAAATTTGCAAAATTTGTTCTGCCAAACAATCGACTAGATTTAATTTTGTTTATTATTCAACCACGGTGATACTTAACATGCCGACTGCCATGACGGTCATCGGTGATGAAACTTCTCGACATAAGTCGCGGAATTCTCAGAAATTCCGAGTGATTCAGATAACGCTGTGCAAAATCTTGCAAAACTCAAGGTTTTAAGTGCCCGTAGTAGTGCTGTGTCTCGATCGATCGTAGTTTCGAAAATGTATAAAATCATCGTGGCGTTAGCGCTTACGTTGGTATAATTGGAACGAACCTTGAAGAACAATCGAAGATAGTGGCAAGGAAATACGACGCATTTGCCGTCGTCCTCCTCGGCGTCGATGTAAACGCCGCGAACGAGGATGGAGTTGCTGCAGTTGAGAAGTACAAGGAACACGAAGCAGCCGATGTGGGTGATCCAGCAGGATAGTTTCTGGTTGTCCGGGACCAGCCACAGGTCCAAAACGTTCCAGATGCCACGCCAAACGTTCACCGTGCCCAGGAAGCTGAGCAGCAAGAAGCTATCGGCCGCGATTAAACGGGCCAAGCCTTGAAGGCGAGCACACGCATACCGCATCAATGGTTGCAGGGAAAACGTCACCGTCACTATCACGTATCCGATGGCCTGCAATTGCACCCGACAATTGTTCAAATATATACATAATAAACAGAGCGAAACTATTGGCAATTGCAAAATTATTATTCATTTTAGGCGTCCTGATTTGACGACCAATTTGACAATATCCTTGGTCAAACTGACACACAGAGTTATTTTGAGATGAAACAATTGTCGAATGTTGCGTTTTATACTTTTTGCCCCTTCGTTTGTGCTACTCTTTCGTGTTATTCGTCTGAATTTTGTGATATCCTTTTCAGTACATTCTTGTCGACCCTAAAAATTTCGTTTATTTACGAGTAAAAGTAACTGATCACTAATTTTTCACTAATCTTGATTTAAAAAAATAAACTATTGCGTGGTGTTAATGTAGAATAGTACGATAACGAGAATACGATTAATATAAATATGTTTCTGTTTCTCTTTTTTTACCTTGCAAGGAGAAAGGTACAATTTGTTATTTAAAAAATTCTACGATAGATTTTTCACCGTTGTGCCCTAGTCGACGCGATCGAGAAAAGTGCTCGTCGATGACGTTTCCGTTCTCGTTGATCAGAGAGATTCCAGCGAATCATCACCGGCAACAGATAGTCCGTCGCTGTTTCACGGTTTCGAAGCGGCATTGCGAGCGAGTAAATGCGTGAATTGGATGACCCTCGCGCAATCATCGACCCTCTTGAGGACTTACGTTATCGCGATCATCGTGCAAATCGTATCGAGTAAATTCCTCGTAAGGATTTCGAGCACGTTGCCTTCGAATCTTTGAAACAACGCCCCGAATTTCCATCCAGGTCCAATCGTTGAAAATGTTCATTGAATCAAAAATTGACGTCAAACGTCGTAGAGTAAATACCATCGTGGCGTTATCAATGATCTCAAGCGTTTTTAAAACAACGAGCCGTTCTTATCATCGCGCTTCAAGCCGACAGATTGATCCTCGATAAGCGTAACACAACGATTTGTCTTCCTAGTCAGATTTCTTCTCCAAACTTCCTAAGAAACAGCGTCGGATCAGTGACGAACGTCGATCTATCAACGAGCGCCGCTGATGGCGCGTGTTCTCTCGTGTAATTTGAAATCGATGATCCAGTTAGTAGCGGTCGATGAACGAAAAAGTCGTCTCGAACAGCGGGGAGGATGGAAACGGCGGCGACTGGCGCCGTGAAATTTGTTTACTTTCTCTTCTGTTGGGTTTCCCGCGCGAAATTGCGATCATCGAAATCGACAAATCCAATACACATCGCGTTGATAAACGATCGAGTGGACATTTCGATTGGACATTTCATTTATTTATTTGTTTTATTTTGCATTAATTTTGCTGGATCCTCCATGGATCGACAACTGGAATTCGTTTACTACGATTACCTGGTTTCTAGACAAATCTTATCATTCGCATCAGCCAGACGCT